ATTCACCTGAATGGCTAAAAATAAAAAGACAACAAAAATGCAAATGTTGGCAAGTCTGTAGAACACTCTACATTTCTAGTTTGAATATAAATTGGCACAAACGCTTTGGAAAACAGTCTGACATTATCAAACTAAAACTGAAAATATGCAAAACCTAATGAGCCATAATTACACTCCTAAGGTATATAACTGACAGAAATACATAGCACCAGGAGATACATATACAAGAATGTTCACAGCAGCGTTACTATAACAAATAGAAATAGAAACAACTCAATTTCCATCCATAGAATGGATAAATTATAGTAATGCAATAGAAAACTTATCAGAAATAAAAATAAACAAACTAATGAGCAATGGAGTCAAGCATAAAATATAGATAGATCATGATTCCATTTAAATTAAGTTTAAACTATTATCATTAGGAATGCAATTTTGATTATAAAACTTTCATGAAGAATAAGGAGAGTGATTACCATAATGTCAGGATATGACTTACGCTGTATTTAGGACAGCGGGTAGGGGCAGTGATTGCATCAGTGAAGGGCTTCCAGGGTGCCAGCAATGTTTCTTAAACAGGGAGCTGGTTACATGGACGTTTACTCGATAATAGTTTATTAAACTATATATTTGTGTTTTATGCATTTTTTTGGTATGGCTGTTATATTTCACCATACAAATGGTAAAAGAAAAAGCTGAAGGATAGGCTGCAGTTGGGCTAGCAGGAAGGCAGCAACTTTTATAACAAAATGGGGGTACATGGGAGAGTTTTTAAAGTACAATCTTATTTTTTGAGACCAGAGTAAAGAAGATATGGAGAGGGCTATGGACCACAACTTTAAAACTTTGCAAAATATTTTACTTTGTGTCCATGAAAATCTTTTATTTTCCTCTGAGAAATTAATAGACTTTTCGTGAAAGACAGTGTAAACTATATAAGGAATTTTTTTAGTTTTATGTCCTAATTTGTTTCTCCTATGAAGGTCAGATTCAAATTTGAAGCTTAATTCTTTTTTTTTTTTTTTTGGAGACGGAGTTTCGCTCTTGTTACCCAGGCTGGAGTGCAATGGCGCGATCTCGGCTCACCGCAACCTCCGCCTCCTGGGTTCAAGCAATTCTCCTGCCTCAGCCTCCTGAGTAGCTGGGATTACAGGCACGCGCCACCATGCCCAGCTAATTTTTTTGTAGTTTTAGTAGAGACGGGGTTTCACCATGTTGACCAGGATGGTCTCGATCTGTTGACCTCGTGATCCACCCACCTGGGCCTCCCAAAGTGCTGGGATTACAGGCTTGAGCCACCGTGCCCGGCCTGAAGCTTAATTCTTAATGAACTTATTTCTGTATATTCTAATTGCAAGTTTCTCCTAGTCTTAATCATCTATGTTTTTCTAATTTTTATCTATTTAGGGTTTTCCATCTTATTGTTGAGAGTATTATGGTCTACTTTACCTGCCTTACAGAATAAGATAATAAAATAAATACATCATTTAAAACTCACAGAGGACTTCATAATTTCTTCTGAAATATTTTTGCAAAGTCCTATAATAATAAAAAGACAACCCAAAGAAGTTGAGCAAAGGGTTTCAGTAGGCATTTCACAGAAGAGGAATGGCCAATAAACATGTTTTTAAAATCTCAACCTTATTAGTAATCAGAGAGATGCAAATTAAAACCAAAATGAGATTCTACTGTATATATCTGCATATACATCTACCAGAATCAGCTGAACTTAAAATTCTGACCATTTCAAATGAGCAATGAGTATTATTTGAAAAATCCTGTTTGGAAAATATTGCACATTGTCTAGTAAAGTTGAGGATATTTGCATGGAATATTTACTCTGTGTTCAGTAATATCATATTCTTAATATATATCCTAGAACAGAACTTAGCAAACTATGGCCCACAGGCTAAATCCTGCCTCTGCATAAAGATTTACTAGAACACATGCATTCTTTTACATATTGTCTATGGCCATGATTTCATGCTACAATGGCAGAGTTGAGTAGTTGTGACAGAGGCTGTATGACCCACAAAGCCTAAAATATTTCCTATGTGTCCCTCTACAGAAGAAAGTGCCATGACCCTTGCGCTAGAATAGCCTCTGCATGTCCATCTGTGAGCATGTACGAGAATATTCAGAGCAGTACTATAATTTCAAACTTTGAAGCATCTCGCATTTGTATCAATTGAGAATGGATTTTAAAAACTGTAATATAGTCAAGCAATGGAATACTGTACAATGAAAATGAATCAATTATAGCTACAGAGCTTAATCTCAGGAACATAATGTTGACCAAAAAAAAGCACGTTACAGAATAGTATACAAAATAGTTATATAAAACTCAAAAACATCCATAAGCAACATAGTTTTGGAGTAGGCAGTTGAAACTATAAAGAAAAGCAAGAGAATTATAAAACTCGGGATAATTGTTACATCTGAAGGAAAAGGGGATAGAAATGGGAACAGATATCTAGGAGTCTTCAAAGTTAGTAGTTAATATTTTCTTTCTTAAAAAGTAGTCAGTACACAGGTTTTTTGCTGTATTGAAAATTTAAGAAACATTTCATAAATATTTTGTATCTACTCAATATTTAATAGAAACTATCTTTGAAACATATGAATTGAATTAAAAAAGCAGGTGAAGGTTAAATTCTTTTAGTAGGACAAAATGAACTAGACTCAATTTCCTCCAATGGACTGGCACCTCTAAGGCAAATACTCGAATAACATTGTAAAATATTTCTGTTGACTGAATAACTGGGCTTGAATAACCAATGATTTCACTCTACCTGATTCCTCCTCCCTCATCAAGACTCTTGTCATTTCTTTTTTAACAATGTCTTTCTTTCCCATGATCTGATATGGAAATTATAATGGGCTTAGAAACTTAGAAGCCATCTTGCATATAGCAAAAGATAAGACATTGGTCAGACTCTGGCTGTGGAATTGAGACCCATTTCCATGGTTGTCAGGGAAGCAAGGCCATCCTAGGAAGGGCTAGAGAAAGCTACAGTCAGAGTGGTCTCTCTACAATCCTGCAAAGCTCGAAATATTTTTTTATATTTTAAAATTAAAATTTAAATATATGAGTAATGTTACCTTGTTGAGAGAGAGAGAAAGAGAAAAATGACCCATAGTACGTAAGTTCCCTTTGACATTTACTTCGCCCCCTTTACCCTAAATCCTCCCTTCTCTCCCTAAAGGTTACCATTAACAGGAGTTTGGTGCCTATCACTCTACAAAATATGTACTTTTTGCTGTTGTTGTTTTGTTTTGAGACGGAGTCTTGGTCTGTCAGCAGGCTGGAGAGCAGTAGCACGATATCAGCTCACTGCAGTCTCTGCCTCCCAGGTTCAAGAAATTCTCCTGCCTCAGCCACCCGAGTAGCTGGGATTACAGGCGTGTACCACCACACCCAGCTAATTTTTGTATTTTTAGTAGAGACAGGGTTTCACCATGTTGGCCAGGATGGTCTCGATCTCCTGACCTCATGATCCACCTGCCTCGGCCTTCCAAAGTGCTGGATTACAGGTGTGAGCCACTGCACCTGGCCAAAAATATATACTATTTTTATACTAATTATATCACATAGTCTTCTAACAAACCCTTCTCAGTTCCTGCAGTCTAGGTTTCTAATGGTTTTTATTTTTAAGTGATAGCTTCCTTTGTCTTGTAAACACTCATCATAACTTTTCAGAAGCCTGATCATACACAAGGTTCATTCACTCAAGAATTCTTTTCACCAAATTTGCTATTCCAATCACATTACCGGGAAGAGATCAATGTATTTGATATACGTCTTGAAAGACCAAGTTTTATTAATTTTTTCCTCTCCAAAGGAGTGGTGAAATTATAACTATCTTCTCTGTGCTAGAAGTTCACAAGTTTGTGATTATTCAAAAACCATAAAAGGCCAAGAGGTCTCGAAGTTAGTAAAGATAAGTTCAGGTTTACCAACAAACTCTACAGGCTTAAGTTACTTTCTCTCCACCAGTCAAGATTTTCTTGTCAGAAAATGAGGACAAGTGTTTGATCTAGAATTTGGGAAATTTGGCCAGGGTTGTACTGTGCTAAAATTCACCCTTTTTATGTATAACGTTATTTTATTGTTTTATTCGTTGATGGCCTCTCAACTTTACCCAGTAATAAGAGAAACTTTACCCTCTAATTAGAAAATAATGGATATCCACTTTTGGCCTACTGTGGCAGAGGAAGACTGTTACCCTAGGACTGGTTTTGAAATAATCTTTCTAAAAACAAAGAAAAAAAACTATATTAATTTTGCATTCTTCCCTATAACACATAAATTTGATCCAACAGAAAAATCATGTCTCAATTACTTGTCAGATAAATTATCGTTTCCAGATTATTACATTACTATTTAAGGAAGAAATAACTTGGCCATTGTATTTTCACTGTCACACACGATCACACACAGCTCATTTGCTTGTGGCACCCTTACAGACACTGAAATACAAGAACAAGGAAAGCACCTTTATATAACACAAGTCACCAGTTACTCAATTATGGACACACACAACAAGCAGATATCCATAAGCAAACCACAGCAGATATCTGTGTAATCATCTTACTCTGTCAGACGATTCTACAGTTATAAAATCCCATTACCACGCAGCTTAAAGTATCAATCACCTCACACCCCACAGCAGGAAGAATCACACAGGCAGAAATACAACCATACACACCCGGCCACGGAAAGACTCCCAGTCCACCCAGCATCTCCCATTGTCACACACACGCACACTCCCCCTAAGGGCCTGGCAGGGCACACAGAGGGTCCTCTGCAAATCCGCGGTTCTGGCAGGTCCCCGCACCAACTCCGGCTTCTCCCCAGCACCTGCTTGGCCGGCTGGTCCCACCCTCTCTCCTGCTCTGGTAGACCCTGGGACAACTCAGAGCTCGCTCTCGCAGGCCCTGAGCGACCGACGCCTGCGCACGGAGCGCGGGCGGGCACGCCTAGAAATCTCCCGGGCGCCGCAACCGGGACCAGCCGGTTCCACAGGCTGAGTCCACGAGCTTCCGGGGGGTGAGCGGTCTGAGCCTCCCCGTGCCGGCCGGCCGGCCAGCCACGGCCTTCCCGGCGCTGGACTACATTTCCCAGAGTCACCGCGTCCGGAACGCGGCTTCATTTCCGTTGGTTTGCGAGATTTGGAGGTATCGCGTGGGGAGAGGGCCGCGTCTGTGGAGGAGCTGGGCTCGGCACCTGCTAGGCTGGCGAACCCGAAATCGGGCTTGTAACCCGAGTGCCGGATCTTGGACCCTGAACTGCACCTCTGTTGGGGTAGGAGTGTCCGGGATGCCAGAGCGGACTTGCGCGGAGAAAGCGTCTCTGGGGTTACGCGTGTGGCCGTGTCTCGGGTTTTGTGTGCTGGCTGCAGCCTGCCTGGTATTGGTGCCTGCCTGTGCATACACGACTGGGCGTGTGTGGCTGTGGTTTTGTGTATGAGCAATTGTGTGAATGTGAGTTGTTTGTGACTCTGAGGGTGTTTGTGACTGTTTGCTTACCTGGCTGGGATGTGCTCATGTGACTGTGTATGTACCGCGTGTATAATTGAGGTTTGCCTGTGACTATAAAGTGTGTGACATTTGTGACAAGAGTGTTTGGATGTGCTTGTGTCACTTTGAGGTTGTGTATATACCTGATATCGTGTGACGGGTTTGCCAGTAAATGTAAGGTGTGTGACTGTGGCTGTGACACGGTGTTTGTGACCACGTGTTTCCCTGATCTGGTACTTGGTTGGGTGACTGTGTGTGACTGTCGGGTTGTGTGTTTTTATGACTGAGTAAAGAGACTAAACTTGGAGCTTTGAAAGGGTGTTTCTGGCGGTATGTGTCTCTGACAAGGTGCTTGGATGTAATTATATGCCTTGTACTTAATGGGATTTTGTTTGAGAGGAGGTGCTCTAACAATGTAGCATAATTGGGTGATTGTGCCTTTAGTTGTGTGACTGTGGAAATGTGATTATGTGTGACTTTGGCCATTTGTATATTCTGTGACCTTATGGGTTGTCCAGTACAGAAGTAAATTTCATTTTGGTATTTCTGGGGTTGAGGTCTGTCTATGGATCATGAGTCTTATGTGGCTCTGTGCTCCTCTGAGGACTTAAGGACTTCTGTTTTTACCACAGTGGCTGCCCGTTCATACATGGCCTGTATTCCTTCATTTCTGTATCCATCCTTGGCCCACCTGTGAAATGTAGTTCCCGGTTCACGGCTTCTTCCCTGTGTCCTCTCACCTTATAGCCTTAAGGGGACTGAATGCAAGGAAGTGGCAAGAAGTAAGGAAGCCAGACATTTGGACACCTGGGTAAAGAATAGGAGTTATTTGCAAGCCACAGACCTGGTTTCGAGATGAGAATTTTAGGGCTTAAAATACCTTCAAGACAGGCCACTGGAAGTGTCATGGGATTCCAGGAGTGGGAATAGTTTCAGAGGGAGTGCTTTTGGAGGCAGCCACACAGTTCTGAACCTGAAGCACTCCACCACAGGGCTCTCTGTCTCCAGCATACAACTTTGAATCCAGAAATAAATTCAAGCCAAAGACGGCTGTGACCTGGCCCTTCTTTCTGATACAGAAGGTAGAAGACCTGTTCTAGTCTCCGCCTGACTTTTCTTTATGTTAAATGAGATTAAGAGGATGGGGGAAGAGGATATGTTCTAATTTAGCATATTCCCCAAGAAAGGCCTAATGTCTCATTCTGTTTTTCTTTTTCTGGGAGTAGAAACCAGAGGATAAAGAATGGCTGTTTCAGTCGCAATGTCCAAGGTGAGTATTTTCTCTTTGTTTCCTGAAATACCTTTGTTATTACAGGACATAGGCATTTTTATTTTCTTTTTGAAATTTTCTGCCTTCTGAAATGACAGAGGGGCAAGGCAATTTTTGGTAGTTTGAGACAAAGATAATGTGCCACTAATTGTGATAGATGCTTCCCAATAGTGGTTAAATTTAGGAAGAATGGATTTGAGACTCATGGATTTAAAAAGGGGAGCTCTATTGTGTTATCTCTGATACAGCGGCATTTTGATTTTTTAACTTTTTTTAGCTTTTTCTTAAAAATTCCAAATATACACAAAAGTATAATGAATATGCCTAGCTTAAAAGCGATCACTTTCCCATCTTGTTTCATTTATTCTGCCTTCAGTTCAAAATCCTTTCTAATTTGCCCTTTTGATTTCTTCTTTGACTTATAGGTTATTTTGAAGTATTGTGTTTTCAAATATTTTGAGACTCTTCCAGAGATCTTTTGTGACTGATTTCTAATTTTGTTACATTGTGTTCACAGAATAACACTTTGTATGATTTGAATCATTTTAAATTTATTTAGATTTGTTTTATGACACAGAATTTGGTGCATCTTAGTAAATGTTCCATGTGCACTTGAAAAGACTATATTTAGTGGTTGTTGGGTGGAGTGTTCTATAAATGTCCACTAGGTCAGGTAGATTGATAGTATTGTTTAAATCTTCCATATCTTTACTGATTTTTTCTTTGTTGGATTTTTCTCCTTGTAGTTTCTTTCAGTTTCTACTTCATGCATTTTTTTTTTTTTTTTTTTTTTTTGAGATGGAGTCTTGCTTTGTCACCCAGGCTGCAATGCAGTATCATGATCTTGGCTTACTGCAACTTCCACCTCCCAAGTTCAAGTGATTCTCCTACCTCAGCCTCCCAAGTAGCTGGGATTACAGGTGGACACCACCACACCCAGCTAATTTTTGTATTTTTGTATTTGTTTTTTTTTGGTAGAGATGAGGTTTCACCATATTGGCCAGGCTAGTCTCAAACTTCTGACCTCAGGTCATCCACCCATCTCTACCTCCCAAAGTGTTGGGATTACAGGTGTGAGCCACCACACCTGTCCTGCTTCATGTATTTTGATAGTCTGTTAGTAGGTATATAAAGGTTTTAGATTTTTATATCCTACTGGTGGATTGACCCTTTTTTCATTAGGAAATGGTCTTCCTTATCCCTGATAATATTCTTTGCTCTGAACATCTACTTTGCCTGATATTTAATGTAGTCACTCCAGCTTTTTTTTTTTTTTGAGATGGAGTCTTGCTCTGTCACCCAGGCTGGAGTACAGGGATGTGAGTAGCTGGGATTACAGGTGCCCACCACCACACCCGGCTAATTTTTTGTATTTTTAGTAGAGATGGGTTTCACCGTATTAGCTAGGATGGTTTCGATCTCTGGACCTCATTATCCGCCCGCCTCGGCCTCCCAAAGTTCTGGGATTACAGGCATGAGCCACCGCGCCCAGCCTGAAGCTTTCTTTTCATTAGTGTTAGCATTGTATATCTTTTTCTATTCTTTTACTTTTAGCCTGTTTGTGTTTTGATATTTCAAGTGCCTGTCTTATATACAGCATATAGTTGGGTCTGGGTTTTTATTCAACTTGGCATCTCCTTTTTTTTTAGACAGAGTTTCACTCTGCCACCCAGGCTGGAGTGCAGTGGCAAAATCTCGGCTCACTGCAACCTCTGCCCCCTGGGCTCAAGTGCTTCTCCTGCCTCAGCCTCCTGAGTAGCTGAGATTACAAGCACACACCAGCACACCCAGTTAATTTTTTTGTGTTTTTAGTAGAGACGGGGTTTTGTAGTGTTGGCTAGGCTGGTCTCAAACTCCTGACCACAGCTTATCTGCTCACCTCGGCCTCTCAAATTTCTGTGATTACAGATGTGAACAACCACACCCAGCCAGCAATCTCCATCTTTTAATTGGAGTTTAGACCATTTATACTTAGTGTGATTATTGATATGGTTTGGTTCAAATCCATCATTTTGCCATTTGTTTTATATTTGTCCCATCTGTTCTTTATTTCCTGTTCTCACTTTTCTGCCTTTCTTTGGGTTGAGATGAAGAGTTTCAAAATAACAATACCAATGTATTACCAACCATATGAATATAGAAAAACAATAAAGTCCTGTTGGAGTTTGACAGGATATATCCCACTAGGGATGTATAATTAAATTACTGTGTTTTAAAAGTTATCTAAATAGCCCTGCTCATATGGTTAAGCTGCCAACCGGAAATGCAGTTAGGCTCATTTGTTTTATATTGCTTTTCATGTTTGGGGATTGCATTTCTCCCACTATGATTTAATCTTGTTTTTAAATTACATAACATATATCCAAAATCAAAACTACAGAACAAGATGAATTTGAAGAAGTCTAGTGTCCATTTCTGTCCCCTCCACCAGCTTCTTTCTTCCCTTTGTAGATAAGTACCTGTACTTCTCATTGGTTTTACTTTTATATTTCTTTTAAACGATATATATGTTTATGTATATGTGTTTATATATGTGTGTATGTATGCAATTTTTATTCTATTTTTAATTAAAAGGAGTACTCTATGTACACTGTTCTTCACCTTCTTTTTTCTTTTTCACATGTCTACAGTATCCTGGAGATAACTCTATAGGAGCCTATAAAGATCTTCCTCATTTATTTTTATAGCCACATATTCTATTGTGTGGCTGTAATAGTTATTTAACCAGTCTCCAATGGATGGCCATTTGTTTCTTTCTGGTATTTTACTGTTGCATAATGCAGCCATCAATAACTACATATGTTGTTTTTTTCTGGGGAAGTTTATCTTTGGGGCAAGTTTGTAGAAGTGGCCTACTTTTAGTTTATTTTAATGCTTTGCATAAGTTCTGCATGAATTGCAAATCTGTGTCATAATAAAGTTCGTACACTTCTTCATTTTTTTTCTTTCTCATCTTCTATTTCCTAACTTTTAAAAAATCGACTTAGAGTATATGCTGTTAAATATTCTTTTTTCTCCAAATTTAGTGAGAATCCTTTTTTTATAAACTTGCATTTCCTGTTTAGAGTCCCAGGAAGCTGATATCTTTGTTTTCTGATATCAAAGTAGTACTTGTTTGTTGGCATGATTTAGAAAATACAAAAATAAAGACACAAAGGATAAAATAACAATTACTGAAAAACCATCCTCTGGAATGAATCGTTCATATGTGGAGTCCATTCTTCAAGTCTCTTTTCTTTAAATTCTTATTATGGAAAAAATGTTTTAATATACAGAAGTAAGTGTAGTGTAATGTATCCTGTATACTCTACCCATCACTCAGCTTCAACACATATCAATTTATGGCTAAACATGTTTCATCTGTACTCCTGTTTCTTCTCCCACCTCCCCCACCCCTCCTCTAAGAAACAACATAGGGGGCTGGGCACAGTGGTTCACACCTGTTATCCCAGCACTTTGGGAGGCCAAGGTGGGCAGATCACGAGGACAGAAGATCGAGACCAGCCTGGCCAACATGGTGAAACCCTGTCTCTACTAAAAATACAAAAATTAGCTGGGTGTGATGGCACGTGCCTCTAGTCCCAGCTACGTGGGAGGCTGAGTCAGGAGAATCCCTTGAACCGGGGAGGTGGAGTATGCAATGAGCCAAGATCACACCACAGCACTCCAGCCCAGCAACAGAGTAAGACTCTGTCTCAAAAAACAAAAACAAAAAACCATAGGTTATCTTGAAGTGGATTTCAGATATATAATTTCATACTTAAATATATTAATATATATCTGGAAAAAGTAAGAACTTTTCAATTAAAGAAAAATAATAACCATAGTATCATCACTGCTAAAAAGAAAAAAGCCAGGCATGTTGGCTCATGCCTGTAATTCCAGCACTTTGGGAGACTGAGGTAGGCGGATCACCCGAGGCCACAAGTACGAGACCAGCCTGGACAACACGGTGAAGCCCTGTCTCCACTAAAAATGCAAAATTAGTGGGGCATGGTGGCATGTGCCTGTAGCCCCAGCTATTTGAGAGGCTGAAGTGGAAGGATCTCTTGAGCTTGGTAGGCAGAATTTACAATGAGCCAAGATTGCACCACTGCACTCCAGCCTAAGCAACAGAGTGAGACCCTGTCTCAAAAAAAAACCCCAAAAAAACAAAACAGGCAATACTCTCTTAATGTCATGAGCCAGTGAGTGTTCAAATTTTCCCATTGTCTATAAATATTTTTTATGATTTTTTTAGGCTCAAGATCCAAACAATGTTTATTTGCTGTAATAGTGCTATATGTTTCTTAAATATTCTTCTAATCCCTGGGTTCTTTCACTTTTTCTTTCTTTTCTTGTACAGTTACCCATATTCTGGATTTTGTTGATTGCTTGTCACTGGTGTCATTTAACATGTTCCTCTGACCTTGTATTTCTTGTAAACTGGTATTTAATTTTAGAGGTTTGATCAGGTTGAGGATTTTTGTTGGTTTTTGCTTGTTTTTTACTAATCCATCATACATAGTGATGTGCACTTCTCTGAAGTGGTGCATAATATTTGATTGCTTTCCTTTATGTGATGTTAGCAGCCAGCTATTGGCATCTTTGTTTGAATATGTTATTTTATCAGGGGTTACGAAATGATAATTCTTCTGCATTTATTAGCTGGAATATATCTATAAAGGGAGTCATTCTTTCTCGGTGTCTTGGTTACCTAAAGAATAGTTTATGGTGTAAAAACAACAAAAAAAACAGAACTAGAAAAAAAGGTTGGTTTTCCTCTTATTATTTTTCTGCATCTCCCAAAGCTTATTCCGTGTTTTTCTTTTAAACTATTAGTAGCTTTGTGCAGTGGCAGTATCATAGCCGATGAGGTTTATCCGAGGCGCAATTATTGCTAATTAAAAACTTCCCAATACCCCACCGTAACGACTTGCAATATAATCGGCATTGGCAATTTTTGACAGTCTCTACAGAGACTGAATTAAAAAGAAAAGAAAAGAACTGTTATTATTAATTTGTGGATTAAAACATATCTTTTATGTTTCCATCTGTAACAGTTACTGTTCTTATTAATGCTCACATTGTTCCGTGTATGGCAAGTGGAAGCTTTACCCTCTGTGATTTTCCTACTCTTTTATTCCTTTTTGTCCTTTTCAACATGACTGCAGTAGTCTTTGGTAGATTCCAGACTTTCTGTTCTGACAGGGTATTCTAGACTCATTTTAAACATTTTCCCATCCCAAACATAAGATCAGCCACTTCTTTATGGGACCCTGGTTCCTTTTATGTGAAGTGGTTTTAAGAAGTCACAACCAGGACAGCAGGAACTCTTATTGCTCCTAGTTGTCATTGCTTATAGCCTTAACAGAGCTGGTGAAATACAAATTTTTTTTGAAGGAGAAAAAAAAAGCCTGAGTGTATCCTGATATTTCCAGTCGAATTAAAAGATTATAGAGTTTTTCTTACTACGTATCTGATTTTATGTTTGTGTTGCTTTTGTAATCTGAAAAAATCTTAATTTGTAATGATTAACGATACTAAGATTCTCTCTGACATATGTGTATGTGTGTATAATCATTTCAGGTTATATACATGTATTAGTTTTAGACTAACAACACTAATATTAATAATGGTATAACTAGTGAAAAACTCTAAGACATAACTTCACAAAGTTATAAACTCTAAGACAACTTTGAAAAACAGTTTATAGTTATTTTGTTTGTAGGTTATATTGGATCTAATGTCAAATGACTATATTTTGGCTGGGCGAAGTGGCTCATTCCTGTAATCCCAGCACCTTGGGAGGCCGAGGCAGGATGATCACCTGAGGTCAGGAGTTCAAAACCAGCCTGGCCAACATGGATGAAACCCCGTCTCTACTAAAAATAAAAAATTATTCGGATATGGTGGCACACATTGGTAATCCCAGCTACTACTCAGGAGGCTGAGGCAGGAGAATTGCTTGAACCTGGAAGGCAGATGTTATAGTGAGCTGAGATTGCACCACTGCATTCCAGCCTGGGTGACAGAGTGAGACTCCATCTCAAAAAATAAAAATAAAAAGACTATATTTTAAAGTTTCTTAAAATAATCACTTCCTTTATATGTTTAACCTTCCAGCTTTATGCGCAGATAAATTTGTTTCATTTTGCTTTTGGTTCTTAGAGAATTTTTTTCATTTTGATTTAATTTTGTGATTTTAGTTATAGAAAACATACTTGTGGGGCCGGGCGCGGTGGCTCACGCCTGTAATCCCAGCACTTTGGGAGGCCGAGGTGGGTGGATCACGAGGTCAAGAGATCGAGACCATCCTGGTCAACACGATGAAACCCCGTCTCTACTAAAACTACAAAAAATTAGCTGGGCATGGTGGTGCGTGCCTGTAATCCCAGCTACTCAGGAGACTGAGGCAGGAGAATTGCCTGAACCCAGGAGGCGGAGGTTGCGGTGAGCCGAGATTGCGCCATTGCACTCCAGCCTGGGTAACAAGAGTGAAACTCCGCCTCAAAAAAAAAATTAAAATATATAAATCTATAGTCTAATATTTAATTTTGTGATTTTAGTTATAGAAAACATACTTGTGGTTCCAAATTCAAATAGATTTGATTGGTAATATTTTATAACTCTGTTGTATGTCTGTTTTCCTAGAGGATATTGAACTGTAATTTTTTGTGTGTAATATCTTTGTGAGGTTTTAGTAATATGGCTATTTGACCTCAAAATGTAGAACAGAGTGCTATCTCCTTTTTCTTTTTCTGAAAAAGTTTGTGAAAGAATAGTGTTATATCTGCCTTAAATGTTTGTAGAATTTACCGGTAAAGCCATCTGGGCCTTCTCTAGATAGTTTGTTTGCTTGTTTGTTCCTACAAATTCAATTTATTTAATATCCATGGGATTTTTTTTTCTGTTTCTTCTTGTGTGAATTTTGGCAATTTTTGGTTTAAGGAATTTGTCTGTATCAATGAAATTGCCAAAATTATTGGCATAGAATTGTATTATCTTTTTAATTTAAGCCTTAAAAAAAAATCTGTGCTCTAGTCTCCACTATGGTAATATTTTTTTCTTGAAAACTTGGTAGGGGGTTATAAACTGTATTAATCTTTTGAAAGAACTGAGTTTGTTGTCATTTTAGAAATCTAAATTTCTTCATTATAAATCATTGTAAGCATAAGCATTTAATTATTTGTGTCTTCTAATGTAGTTGTGTATGATCATAAATATACTGAAATATTAAGTTGTTCCTTATCTCCATTTTGACATCTGTAGATGTCAAATTACCTATGAGTTTCATTTCAGAAGTGATAGAGACATTGTTATATTTTCTTTTTGTAGATAGAAAGCATTGAGTTTGATCAAGGTAAGAACCACAACCTATATGTATCCCTCTTAGTGTGTGTTTTGATATGGGAGAAAGATACCGGGAGAAAAGAACAAAAAAGATAATTCCAACTGAATCATTTCTTAGTGTGCAAAACACCTGGTCTCACTGTTCTGCTCTTTCCTCCCTAGCTCTGCATTCTCCAGACTCTGTGCTTTTCTAAGATAGGAAACCAGAAGAGGACTGATCATTTCTTGCAGGTCTAAAAACCATGGCTTGGGTAAATTGGAGTTTCTTTGTGCTCTCTTCACTTACTTTTTTACAGAGTATGTGTGTATTTGTATTCTTTACTTCTGAAGATTCATTCCTAACTGACCTCCCTCAGGAATATGCTCCCCAGTTTGTCCCATTCTTATACGTGATAGTGTCTTCCCTAAGTGTGTCTTTCTAATCTAACCCATAGTCACATACTTATTCAGCAATCCATTCAGCATCTTTGACTAGGAACACTGATCTAATAAAAGCAGAGTTCCCTGATTTCATGAGACAGAGGAAGATATTAAATGGCACCACACATGAAAACCTTTTGAACTTCTCTTTAGATCTAAGTTCCCAGGTAGACAAGACAGGAGTTGGTCGCGACTGGGCACACTCTCAGTATATGGCAAGAGCTCATGCTTTATTAGTTTTTAAGATTAGGAAGATGATGAGGGACTGAATACAGAAAGATCAGGGATCTTCCCCAGGAAGATGTAATTTAATATGGATCAATTTGAAATTCAACATTATGTACTGGTCTTGAATGTGTAAATTTCGATTATGTTTTTCACCTTTCTATTGCTTAGAATGATGAAAAGTTACATTTATGGATGAATAGTAAATATGATCATGGTAAAGGTGGCCATTTACCAGCAGAAGTTGCTGAGAATAATCAACTCTGAGAACTAAGAAATACTTACACAATTTTATTTTATACAACCTAAAATGTTTAAATATGAGCACTTATTAAATCAGATATATTCATTATATGGAGCTACTCTGTATCCTATAAAATATTTACTAAATTATTGATGATGAGGAAAATGTTTATGATATAGTACTTAGATCTAATGGTGAATCTGGAGCTTCAATAAATTCTTTAATTTTATACAAATCTATTTTATAAGGTTTTACAGATAATTTTTCCCAGTTATTTTGTTTATTCCTTAAATAGTGAAGAAAGAGAAATTTACATTTATTGAGAATGTATGATACACAATATACATATTGTATAGAATGCTCATGTATACTATTTCCTTTAATTGGGACATTGCATTTACTTTATTAATTCCCAGACTTATCTGTAAAGTAAGATATTCCGTATGTAGAAAATATCTACAGCAGGCCAGGTGCAGTGGCTCACACTTGTAATCCCAGCACTTTGGGAGGCCTAGGCAGGAGGGTCTCTTAGGCCAGGTGTTGAAGACTATCCTGGGCAACATAACAAGACCCCTGTCTCTACAAAAACATTTAAAAATTATCTGGGCACAGTGGCACACACTTTGGTCTCAACTACTCAGGAAACTGAGGCAAGATCACTTAAGCCCAGGAGTTGAAGGCGGCAGTAAGCTATGATGGCACCACTGTACTCCAGCCTGGGTGGCAGAGGGAGACCCTGTCTCCAAAACAACAACAACAAAACTATAGTAATAGGAATAATCAGGAACATATTTGTACTTTTCTGCCCATTTGCTCCGTTGCTTCCTTTGTGGAGTATTCCCCATGATCTCCCTCCATTGAAAAAGTTTTGGTTTTGTTTTTGAAAGAGTCTTACTCTGTTACCCAGGCTGGGGTGCAGTGGCACGACCTGGGCTCACTGCAACCTCTGCCTCCTGGGTTTAAGCAATTCTCCTGCCTCAGCCTTCTGAGTAGCTGAGACTACAGGCACCCACCACCCACACCTGGCTAATTTTTTGTATTTTTAGTAGAGACGGGGTTTCACCATGTTAGCCAGGATGGTCCTGATCTCCTGACCTCGTGATTCACCCGCCTCAGCCTCCCAAAGTACTGGGATTACAGACGTGAGCCACCACACCTAGCCTAATTTTTTAATTTCCAAAACTAACATTTCATTTGTTGTTTCAGAAAGTAGTGATGTTCAGGGATGTTGCTATTGACTTCTCTCAAGAAGAGTGGGAATGCCTGGACGCTGCTCAAAGAGATTTGTATAGAGATGTGATGTTGGAGAACTACAGCAACTTGGTATCACTAGGTAAGGAATCTGGCCTTCATATTTCAGGATCTACCTTTGGAATGGCTGCTTTCTCGGCTGGTATTTCACAGTTGCTTTTTAAGTAATTAGCTGAATTTCTTATTCTTTTCCAAGGAATGGTTTGCAATTACTGGAAGTTAATTTCTTAGGGCACCTTTATCTTTTCCATCCTTCAAAAAGCCTTACCACTGCCTTCTAATACCATCTTCCCACTATCTTCCTTGATGATCAAGGGGCAATATTTGAAGTTTGGGATAGTTGGAATATTGGCAGATTAAACAGGCTATACATTGTTACACTTTAGATCTGCCAAAGGAGCTCTAAATAATTTACAACCCAGTCACATATTTAAAAAATAGATACAGAGATGTATGTTTTTTCTGATCAAAGAGTTTACATCATTTGTATAGTGATAGAGCAGATCAATGCATTTTACCAACAACCCAAATGAACACAACCCATTAATTAGAACAAACACATTGTCTTATATGTTTTTAGTTGTTGAATATTACATATTAAGAAGTTAGGGCTGGGCACAGTGGCTCATGCCTGTAATCCCAGCACTTTGGGAAGCACAGGCAGGTAGGTCATCTGAGGTCAGGAGTTTGAGACCAGCCTGAACAACATGGTAAAACCCCGTCTCTACTAAAAATACAAAAATTAGGTGGCCATGTCACCGGTGCCTGTAATCCCAGCTACTCAGGGGGCTGAGGGAGGAGAATTGCTTGAACCAGTGGGGTGGAGGTTGCAGTGAGCCAAGATCCCATCACTGCACTCCAGCCTGGGCGATAGAGTGAGACTCCATTTAAAAAAAAAAGAAAACTTTGCATTAGACATTGAATGAATATGCTAGAATTTTCTTGTATTAGAAAATAGTTGAGAGGGAACTTGTGATTGTCTAAGAAAGTTTATTGTTTTCTTCTGTAGTATTTTTATGCAGAACAAAATCCATATCAATTAAAACTTTAATAAGTGATTTTCCAACCTAGATGATCACTTTATTCCTTGTGCTGGAATAAATTGTCTCTTCCCTCTTCCTTCCTTTCTCTTCTGGAGGCTTTAGGAAGTTATTGATTAATACATGTCCCTAGAGCACCCAAGTTGTGTGGAAAAAAGACTTATGACTTGAGGAGAATAGCAAGGGTTTTCACCATGATCTTCCTAAAGAATCTTACCTAATTCCTCTACCTCCTTCCCCTGTTGGTTTTTTATTATAATTCTTCCCACTTTCAGAAGAGGGAATGGCTTTTCCTCCTCCCCAGTGACAACACTTTTATGTAAACTTGGGAGTCAATTCCTTTCCAGATTGTTTCTTTAAATGTATACTTACCATCTTTATTCTTTAAAGTATTGTTCATTTATCCAAAATATATTTATTGAGTACCTATTCTCTGCCAAGGACTATAGGAGCCTTTGGGGAAATAATGGTCTAAATAAGGTTCTTTCTCTGTGGAAACACATTCTTGTGGGAGAAATACAAAATACGTATGGAAAGAAAATTATATGTATATGTATGTGCATGTATATACATACATATGCATTTATTTAATAATTATCAATATAACAATAACAGGTAGTGATAAGTAGTACAAATAAAGGTAAAGAAAGGTAGGCAGGTAAAGAATAATGAGGATTTGGATGGCCTGTTCTAGATTTTGGAAAAGCCTCTCTGAAGAGGTAATATTTGAACAAAGACCTGACTAAAAAGTAAGGGCGTGAGTCAAGCCAGTATCTGGGAAAGCAGTGTAAAGGCCTTGGGATGGGTATTAACTTCGTAGGAGGAACAGATAAACATGTATCTAGAGAAAAGTACTAGGATAATAAGAAAGACAGTGACATAGAATAAAAAAGACTGAAATTTTATTCTCTAAGGTGGTGCCTCCTGACTCCCCATCTGAAGCAAATGCAAATCTCCAGAGGAAAGTAAGAGGCCTTTAGAATTCTCACAAGTTAAGATCAACAAAAGGTGAGCTCACAAAGATCATCAACTTCACAGGGAAATAGGTCACAGCTGAGTGATAGATAACCTGAAGAAATAACATATTACGTGGCAAAAATCTTTACATATTAGAATGGTTAGATATAGCTATAAACTATTGGTGCTGGTTTAAAGAAATAAAGAAATTAAACTGCAAGATTGATGACTAATAGATTTTCATAAAGGGACAGATTTGAAAGAAAAATAATTTCTAAAAGTTCCATTTAGTTCTTTTTAAAAATGATAATTGAAAGATTGATAAATTTGGCTGCATGAAAATTATTCTTTATCAAAAGACATTATAAAGACAGTAAAAGACAAGCCATGAATTGGGCAGAGATACTTGCAATGCATATAGACAACAATGAAATTAGTAGTTAGTATCAGAATATAAAAAGCTTCTATAGATTGATAAGAATAAGATAAATAACAGTATTGAAAAATTCCATAAAAGATATCTATTGGCAGTTCAAGGGAAAAAAATGCAAATTAGGCTGGGCACAGTGGCTCATGCCTGTAACCCCAGCATTTTGGAAGGCCGAGGCGGGCGGATTACTTGAGGCCAGGAGTTCGAGACCAGCCTGGCCAACATGGTGAAACCCCATCTCTACTAAAAATACAAAAATTAGCTGGGCCTGATGGCAGGTGCCTGTAATCCCAGTTACTCAGGAGGCTGAGGCAGGAGAATTGCGTGAACCCAGGAGGTGGAGGTTGCAGTGAGCCAAGATTGAGCCATTGCACTGCAGCCTGGGCGACAGAGGGAAACTCTTTCTCAAAAAAAAGCAAAACCACAATGATAGAATTATTTCACATGCTGTAAATTGGCAAAAATTAAGATGTTTTATAGTACCAGGCATTCTCAAGATTTAGAGGCAGAAGTGCACTATATCTTGATATTCACAATAGCCAAAAAGTGGGAACCATTCAAATGTCCATCAACTAATGAATGGATAAAATTTGGTATATTCTTACAATGAAATACTATTCAGCAATAAAAAGGAATGAAGTTCTGATACATGCTTTAACATGGATGCACCTTGGAAACATGCTATAAAGAAATACCTGAGGCTGGGTAATTTATAATGAAAAGAAATTTACTTGGCTCATGCTCCTGGAGGCTCTATAAGCATAGCACTAGCATCTGCTTGGCTTTTGGTGAGGCCCAGGAAGCTTTTAGTCATGGTGGCAGGGAAGGGGAGCCAGTGTATCACATGGCAAGAGGGAGAGGAGGATCTTCCAGGCTCTTTTAAACAACCCAGTCTCGTGTGAACTCATAGCTTAAGAACTCACTCTTTACCACAAAGATGGCACCAAGCCATTCATGAGGGATCCACCCGCATGATCCACATACCTCCCACCAGGCCCCATCTCTGACACTGGGGATTACACTCAACATTAGATTCCATCAGCATGAGATGCAGAGGGGACAAATATCCAAACATATCTCATGCCAAGTCAAAGAAGCCAAATACAAACATCACATATTATATGACATGTCCTCAATAGGCATTCATATGACATGTCCTCAATAGGCAAATGTGTACTAACAGAAAGTAGATTACTGGTTACCCAGCACTGGGTATAGGAAAGAGGTAGAGGGGATGGAGAATGGGGAATGGGGAAATGAGAAGTGACTGCTAATGAGCACACAGGATTTCTTTTGGGGGTAAAAAAAAATGTTAAAAAATTAGATTGTGGTCATTGTTATACAACTCAATGAGTATACTAAAGCCATTGTGCAGAAATAATATGGAAATGGTTTCCAAACTTGTGTGTACTTTAGAAACCGTTACTGTCTTTTAAAAAAAGTCCACAGCTCAGGCCATACCCCAGACCAATTAAATAATCATCTCTGGGCATAGTACACAAGTATAATTATTTTTTGAAATTCTCTAGGTTTTTCAAATATTTAGACATGTTTGGTAACCACTGCACTGTGGTATTAACTGAGAACTTTTTAAAAAATTGAATGTTCACTTCATTTATTAGCAATATACTTGGATTTATTTTCTGCTTTTTGTTTCTTCTTTTTATCTTACGGGCTTAAAAAATTTCACCCTCCTTAATCAGGGTGGATACAATCTTGTTTTATTTTTTGCAACTCCATTTTCCCCCTTGTTTAGTTTGGAAAACATACAGTATTTATTTATTTTTTAAAGTTATCTTTAAATTTTTATCATGTGTACCTAATTATTTTAATGCCAGTGATATGTTATAGTTTTTATTCATTGTAATTATGTCTGAAAAATTATATATTTAATGGATATTATATATTTTGATGGATACTAAAATGTATTTATTCAGTCCACATACAATATTTGGTTTGCATATTGCTTTGCAATAAACTTGCTCTATCTCCACCCCTAGGATTTCAAGGCCAACAAGTTGAAAAACACAAATATAAAGGATAGTATCTACTGTGAAATAAATTGGTAACCATTGTGGCAATTAGTTGAGGTTATAAGGAGAGATAAGAAATTGACATTTCTGTGTCAAATATATATTTTATTGTCACAGAATTCTTATCAGACGTATACCAGCAATGCATACCTATTTTATACTTTATCAATAATGGCTCTTATCACTTAGAAATATCTTTGTTAATTTGTAGATGGAAAACAGAAGAACATTTCTGCCATTGCTGGTGAATTTAAACATTTTGGGGGTATTTCTGCCTGTTTTGGTACTTTAATTATTATCATTATTGTTTGTGTCACTTGACAAATACAAACTTAATTTAGCAGAGGCTGAAATTCATGTCTGACTTTCCTCAAGATAATATAAAGGATATTGGAATGCTTTAACTTTGAGCTGTTTCTCCAATCTGGTATTTTTCTCTGGTATTTTAGTTCTGTTCTTTTTTTAGCCTACAAAATGCGCATTATTTTTGTTTCATAGTATCAGTATTTGCTTGTGGATTTGTTGGCATAATTATCTTTTATTTGTATGCTATTCCTCTTTCATTATACCTTCCTTCTAGAATGTTTTGTTTATCAGAAAATACATTAGGGAAGGCGTTTTT